CAAGACGCTTATTGCATGCCTTTACAGGAATATTTCTAAAATTTCGGAGAAACAATTCCTCAGAGATCACACTTTCCGCCGATCCGCAGTCTACCTCCATTGTAAATCTCTTGCTTTCGATTCTTAACTCTACATAGCAAGGTTCATTAATTTTGTTCACTGCCGAAATCATTAAGCAAGGCAAATCTTCCTCCGAATCTGACTGTATATCTTCCTTCAAACGCTTGAATAATCCTGATGTTGTAGGCTCTGAAGTTTTAGGCAAATCAACAAATTTTACACCTGACTTGAATTTACGCGGGCTTTTGTTTTTCAACTTGTAACAATATTTCCTTAAATGACCCTTCTTCTTACAATACGAACACAAAAACTCCTTGTCACAATTATTATTCTTTCTATCTCCATATCTTCCTCCGCTTCTGCTTCTAAACGATCGATTCCTACTGTCACTCCTACTTCTGCTGCGGAAATTAGACCTACGTGATGTACGGTCCTGCCTTCGACCCAAACGAGCTATAACACTTCCTCTTCTATCATCGTCGTTACGCAAAAATTGGGTTCTATCAAGCTATTTCCTGATTCACTATCATTTTTTCCGCTTTGACAACAGTAAGAACGTCCTCGTCAAACAACCGCTTCTGTAACTTCCGATCATTGATGCCGATAACCAAAACGTCACGAATGGCCCTATCTTTAAATTCACCGAACTCGCACAGCTCGGCTAAATGCTTTACATACTTAAATCAACTGCCTTCTCGAATTGCCCTTGCCTACGAGTCCAGAATTTAAAACTGTGTATAACATCAGAGTCCTTGTTATCGTAATGCAGTTTTAATTTTTCTGTTATTTGTTTATAAGTAAGGTCTTTTAAACTTTGCCCGGGAAACAAAAGCTTTAACTGAGAAAATACTTCAGTCCCACAAACTGCAAGAAACGAAGTTTTGAATCTATCTTCCGTGTAGTTATTATGTTCAAACATCCACTCTAGTTGCTCTTGATATTGGGAAAAAGGAATAGTTCCCGGAATGAAAGGCTCAGATGTTGGATTGATAGACATCCTTTCAGTAAAATATAAAAAAAAAAACAGGCAAAATGGATTCAGTGTAAATATGTATGCTTTTCTATTGCACATAAATGCATATAAATATAACAAATCAACAACAAAAAATCACATACCTGAAAACACTGGTGTCACAATCAGCACAGCTACCCTAGCGGCGGTAAACAGCCATAGCACAAAGCGTAGCCAACACAATTAAAATCAGCCAGCAAACACAGCAGCAAACCGAACCGTCGATCACCAGCACACACAGCAGCAACAGCAATCCGTAGATAAGCCGTCAACAACAGCTTCGCTTCGTAAAACAGAGGAACACAGCTCTAAACAGCAGCACAATAAAACACTACACCAGCGATCGTGACGGCAATGCACTTTCATGCACACAATGCACCCTTCACTCCGTGAGGCTCAGTTGTTCACTCAGCATATAAATAGAAAATCGCTCAACATGAGCAACACTGCTGGAACTCAGTCACTGTCTCGGAGCTCGCAACACAACGGTAGGTACTAGAATCTGGACTAGAATACCAAAAGTGTGCCACTCACTTCCAAGCGTAAATGTTGGCGTCGTTGATGTTCTTTTCCTAGCGCTCACTATGGAACAAAAGGAAAGACAAAATGGTGAGAAAACCACTTGATGAAAAGATTTTCGAACACAAAAGAATCTGAGCTATTCAAAATGGTGTCTTCTTTTGTTTTCTCTAAAAATTTCTACAGAAAATTAGCAGGGATTTTTTTCCGAAACACAAGTTTTTCAAGAAAAATGAAACTGTAAAACAAATTCAACCACTTATCAGAGTACAAACAACAATCAATACGAAACTAACGATTTTAAATTGGCTCACCACTTGAGTAGCCTATTGGTCCCAAGCAAACGATTAACGTACCCTATTCTAGTTGAAATTCTATTACTACACTATGTTTGTTTTGATTCGCTATGAAAGTTTGACAGATAACATCAGGGGTGTGTGGATTCATGCAGAACATGCAGGGGTGAGTGAAATAGCTTGGGACTGCTTGGGACCGTTGTTCTGGTACTGAGTGAGCCAAAAATAATAATGATTTTCTTCGGGACCCAGTGGTCTTAGAGTTACCTCTATGGTACAAACGTGTTCAATTATTAAATCTAATTCTCGCCACTAAGTACGTTTGTCTACCATTCAAGGGTGAGAACAAAATCACGGCAAAACTACTTACGATAGGCCGTCTACACGCAATCAATATTTTTCCTTGAGTTTCTCACTGAAAAAAAAAACTTTTACACACGCGAATGTGAAAAAAAACCCTAATTTTAAAATTTATCCTCGTTGCCACTATTATAAACGAAGTTTCAGATATACGACAGAGGAAATAATAAAACACTTGTTTCTATGTTCGTAGTCAAAGTGCTAATGACCCATATATTCAACCTATTCATGTACAATACTCAAAATTCTGCTACTCTCTCATTTATGGCAGTCCCTCTCTGAGGTGACTGTCCATCTTACCGAACTATCGAAAAGGCTTTGCCTGTTACACCACTACAATACTGACCTATTTTTACGGGAGATTGGCACATCACTTTGATTTCAATAGCATTATGTAAAAAAAAAGGATTTTTTGGAGCATTCCAGATTTTTCCAGATTTTATATTTTACCTGGTCCAGATTTTTCTTAAAATGACCTGGCAACGCTGGTTCTGAGTCACAGAGCTGCAGAGTCACTTGGTTGGAAGAATTTACACTCGTTCGGCAATCTGTTTGTAGGTGAGGATGTGTATTTTGATTCTGTGATGCTCGCGCGAGTGAATGAATTTTCCCATGCTTGATAAAGTCTGCAAGTAGTAGACGAAATACGCGTATCTGTCAAAAGATAAGCAATTATAACGGAATTTAAAGGAAATTAACCAACCCACTCACAGCTCTTCATATTTTGGATTAGTACTAGACCAAAAATTAACTTTTAAAGATCACATTGAGGGCATTCAAGCCAAATGTAACAAATAGGGAAAATAGATGTAATGTCGGCCTAAATGCAACAAATTTGGGCCCATACATAAATTTAGCAATCGACTAAATTTTCAGTAGTTACAAATAACATCCATTAGTACCATTCCAATGACGCGTTCATCTTGATAAAATGGATAAATAGCAGGTTTTTAGCGATGGGCCCAATCTTAGTTCAATACGCCCATGCATGGCATGCACAGTTGTACAAACCAACTGCTCATTTGTTAATAACTTTTCACTCAGTTCTTGAATTTTTTTAAAAGTAATTGATAGATTAGGATCATAGTTTACTATATATATGCAAAGAGTAGGTAAGTCTTAACATTTGAATCAACACCAATGAATCTTTACACTTTAAGTCCTAGATGTGCAAAAAGCATTTCTCACTTGATTTTTACAACACAAAAACAGTTTATTATTAATATAAAAATCTACTTCTTCGTACGTACCTATTACAAGCTTAAACTTTATTCTATCTACTGCTTCAAACAGAACTATGTTTTGTCAACTGTGTCCAAACTTTTCCTGAAGAATAAACTTCTAATATTTAAACAATTTTTAGCCAGCCATGCTTTATGCTGTGCCAATATGGTCTAGATGTTGCACTACCAGGAAAAAACCACTTCGAAGCATTCAGAAGTTCTGAATATGGTTTTGAAGTTGTCTCCCTGGTACAGTTCTACCGAGGTATATAGAACTTAAAATGTTGAGACTTTGCAACAAATGTCCAACAAAATTATCAATAGTTTCAGGCAATTACAATCACTGACGCCGGTGGTGTAATGGTAAGCGTGACTGCTTATTCACCCCAATGGATCTGGGTTCAATTCCAGCCAAGGTCGGTGGCATTTTTCTGAGGAATAAACATCTCTGGTCACGTCTTCCTTCGGAAGGGAATGCGCGAACACCCCCCACATAGAACGCATACGAAAGGGGTGAGCCTAAGCTTTCGTTTGCTTGATGTTGCAGCGATACTGATTTTGTTTTGTAAGATTTTCTTCCAAGGACATCGTGTAATAAGTGAGACCATAAAGAGGCCAAAGAATGTGTGTTCTTGACAGAAGAAAATGTACATTGATGATGGCGATAGTCCTGCCACTTACCCCTACAAAGGATTGAACTTCATGATTTATCTATAAGATAATTTATTAAATACATTTCAACTAGGTTTACAAAAAGATGAACTGATTTCATCAATAGACAATCCCTTCAAATGTTTACAATTGCTTCAATAGCGACTAAAAATTTAATCATTAAAAACCGCCCTTTTAATTCTGTTACACAAATACCTCTCAAACCACTTCTATGCAAATCCCGAAAATTCAAAGCGCTTTATTGTACAATATTAATTAGTCATCATGAATATTCGTTAAAGATGTTTTACAATGCATCGGTTACATATTTTTGTTTTACCAATGTGTAGGTCCATACAATCAATGATAAATATATGTTTTCAAACTAATTATTCATTTCTGCAAAATAAACACTTATCGCAATAACACCGATAGTGATATAAATGGTGTGTGAAAAAACGAACCGTTATAAGACTGAAAAGTAACTGTACACACTTATTTTTTCTACCGAGCTCGGCTGTGTAAATCTCGGTAAAATAAGTTTCACTGAGATCTCAGCAAAAGTTACATTTGATTGCTAAGTGTTGGATAATGCTTAACTGAGATCTCAGTAAAACCTTTTTTTGCCGAGATTTGCACAGCAGAGCTCAGTGGAAAAAAACTTAGTGTGTATATCATCCCAAACCGGCGTGGTTAATTCTGTATGAATACATCTTTTACATATTGTTTAAAGCCACGGTAACGCTTTTATGCATTCCAGCAACGACACCAGCAGATCTTTATACTCTGTAATATACTCTATTTTTACAACCCTCGCATCCAAGAGATCCTAGGATATAAACTTCGTGCATATTAGTTCCTATTTATTCGTATAAACAGCCCTGTTGATAGCGCAACCAGTAGCCTATAACGCGTACCCCCTGAGGCCACCCACTGAGTAATTACTCCATTGCATAATGAACAGTTTAATTAAATTTTCTTTTACCCCTCTCCATGTTTTGCTCCTCCCGATGGGCCAATGTCTGACTGCTAAATTGCCGTTCCATCCGATAGGGGCGATGTAAGCAACATCTTCGAGAATAGCAACAACAACTGTGATAGCACAGAAGATGCGATCCCTCAGGAGCAGCAACAGCCGGAACCTACAACGGATGCCTTCGAACGTGTTCTTTCTCCGGAGACAACTCTATACGACACGGAAGGTGTGGCCTTATTTGAATGAAATTGAAAAAAGTTTTTCACAAGTGCTTCCATTGCAGCTTCTGGTGAAGATGATGGTTCCGATTTGAGCCAAGCGGAACGGCGGCGACGGAATTTCACATTCAAACTGAATTCGATTGAACTGAGCGTCATCGAGGAGAAAACGGACGAAGATGGAAGTGTCTACCAACAGTCACCGGAGAAGGGTTTTGAGGGTGGTAGAGTGATAGAAAGTAGTGAAAAATCAAGGGAAGGCTACCTGTCAAGTCTGGAAGGAGAAGATGCACTTCGAAAAGATCAAGCGGTTTTCCGGACCGACTCGGAAGGAAATGAGGATTTAGTAAATTTGGATGACGATGCAGTCGCTGATGAAGAACCTGAAACAGCTGATAATGAAGAAGATTCCAGTGAGCAAAGTCTGAAAGGCTTTGAGGATGTGGAACAACTTCTGAACAGAATGCCTCTGGTTCCTACATTTAAAACGCTAACAAGATTTCGATCCTTCGAATACCCACGCGCTATTGAAGGCGAAGATGATAGCGACGAGGAGGAGGCATCTCCTCGGTTGAAGAAATTCAATCTGAAAGATTTTAAAAGCAAAATGCAATCAGAGAGTAATTTGGACATTTCGGAGGGTGACGATGAAGAGGAGGAAGAAAACCATGACGACGATGATGAGGATACTATTGTGCCGGATGATGACTTCGATGTGGATGCAGCCATCGACGAGGTGCTGGAGGAAACGTCTTCCGAGGTGCAGAATGAGAAATGGGAAATGCTGAAGCGCACCCTGCACAAAATCCCATACCGCGCCAATTCGTTCGATTTGTTCGGCGAAAGCAACGAGGATATCCTGGAAAATCTATTTGAGCAAAGGAGAAATAAAGTGTTGGAAAGTGCTGGTGAGGAGTTGGGTAGATCACCAGAAGATGTGTAAATAATGCTCAGTTTATTCCAATTAAGTTTTATTGATTCGGTTTAAGAAAGCAAATACAAATTTATTGGAGTTGGTTGGAAATGCTAACATGAAGCTTTAGTGTGATGATTTATTAGCTAGAGAATGATCTTTAGAAGAGGGTAGGTGGATAGTTCCGTTAGAGTACGGCAGTATGAAAATTGAATAGAAGTTGAAAATGAGCGAAGGGCCATTAATGCGACAGTTTTTCAAGATAGACGCACAATAGTTGGGTAAAGAAGAACTGCATTATAACACACCATCGACTGGAAATGCTCTCGCAACGTGGGGCTTTAGGTAGTGATGAAAACGTCGCTAGAACTATTCCACAGCCGCAGTCAGTTTATGAGCAAAAAAGAGGGACGCACATTTTTGCCTGTGGACTTGGAGACATACTTCAAGTCCCCGCGTACATCGTACGGGTTAGGCAAAAATGTGCGTCTATCTTGAAAAACTGTCGCATTAATGGCCCTTCGCTCATTTTCAACTTCTATTCAATTTTCATACTGCCGTACTCTAACGGAACTATCCACCTACCCTCTTCTAAAGATCATTCTCTAGCTAATAAATCATCACACTAAAGCTTCATGTTAGCATTTCCAACCAACTCTGAAAATCGTTAACTTCGCGTATGAAGTAACATAAAAACACAAATTTATTGCTAAATTATGCAATCAAAAGTATGTAAATAAGTTGAACCAATCAAGTACTCCTTAAAGACATTTATTTTTATTTCTTGAATACCATGGAGTTCTAATAAAAATATATATATAATCACCTGCCCATCAGCTGGTCTCATGTTTAACGTCTCCCACAATTCCAATAGCTTCGATCTCTACAGCAGCGCCGAGGGGCAGTTGTGAGACTGCATAGCATGTTCTTGCCGGAAAATTATTGCCAAAAACTGAAAAGAAATCCAATAGATGAATCTGAATACACCCATTTCCCACAAATACGGTCGTACATCGTTTATACTCATCGTTTACTGCCGCGTAATCGTTCATATCAGCTAGCAGGACGGTTGTCTTAACCACCTTATCAATGCCGGAGCCGGCATCGTTGAGTAGATTGGCCAGATGTTCCAGTGCTTTGGCAGCTTGGGCTGAAGCACCTCCGGCAACGAGCTTCGGTTCATTTAAATCTATTCCAATGACACCGGAACAGTACACGGTACGATCTGCGACAACAGCTTGGCTAGAAATAGTTAAAAATATCACATGTACCTATCACCAACACTTTTTCCCATCTCCCGAGTGGTGTGCCCTAAGTTCTTGTTTTTGTTTGTTTTGATAGTGTCGTTCGAACATCAACCGGTTTGCTCTCTACGAACAGAGATAAGTATGTGCACTTGTGGAGTTTCAACCCATGTTGAACTGTTTCTTATGGATTTCACAGTTGGCAGACAAAATAACCAAGTAGCTTATAACATTATGCAATCAATAGCATACCTATAGGGAGCCAATGGCCGGGGACACTTGCTGCTTGATATGATTTTACGGATGACAAAAGACATGGCTGTATTTTTGGATCGTGTATTAGTATGGTGTGCAAACGATGCCACGATTCAAGCGGTCTGCTCACTGGAACTGCTAATTTACTACTGATTGCTCTTTTATGGGTTTTACTTTGATTTTTGGTGCACCCATACAAACAATTTCAAGCTGAAATTCGATGCTGTATTTGACAATTTTTTTAAGTGGTGTGTACAAGCTTGCGTAGTTGGTTACAAGCTTGCGTTTGCAGAAAAGTCGTCGACATAGGCGTAGCCAGAGGGGACTGCCCCCCCCCCCCTAAACTCAGCAACACAAAGACTTTCGGTGAAATGGCGCTCGGTAAAATGGTATTCGGCCAAATTTTTCATAATAAATTTTTTTTTCGCCCTTCCCTAGCTCGAAACCTGGCTACGCCCTTGTGTGAGTGAGTAGTAAATGTGAAATGAAACGATTTTTCCATGCTTGCTTATATTTACACAAGTTTCAGGCTGTTCTATGTGCATGAAATGTGCATTCTAATTTATTGGATTTATCTGAAACTGATGTGTAGCGTCAGATTGATATGAGATACAGGGTAGAGAACTACTTCGACCGAATTGCCCATTTTGGGCCTATCGAGCAGAAAACTTCAAATAAATCCATGGTTTCAGAGTTAAAAAGTCAATTATGCGTTTGGTACGATACTTTAGTTAATAAGCTAACGAACGAATACAATGAGAACGCGTGGGGTGAAGGCTTGCACCCATTATTCCCAAAAACAAAAGAAGCGCTCCGATCGAAACAATGTTTGTCTTCATCCAATAGGCCGAAGTGAATTCATTTTCTTTTCATTGGCGTTTCAATACGTTAGGCCGAGTTTGGCGTCAAGAAGCAGTGTTTATACTTTTGATAATATCTCAACGATTGGTTCCTCTTTTTCAAATATTACGGTACGTACGGAAAGGTAAATATATTTGGAAGCCATCAAAAATAATAAAATTCCGTTTGGTGCTAAACTGCGCTAGATTGAGAAAGATTAAATGCAGGTTGTGCTTAGTAGTCCGAAAATCGGGTAGTTAACCCTATATACCAGCATTCCAAGTTTATTATTTTACCTGGGAAGAATGAGATCACAAAATGAACCAGAATTACCAACTTAAAGACAGGGTCAATTAGAGGACAGTTATAATTTTACTCAACTTTCTCTGACCGGAAGTCGACTCTATCCTGTGTTTCAAGAATAATGGAGCACATATGTGATAAGCCCCGTTAAAAGTACTGAACAAGGAATTCAGTACCTTTAAACTCCCGCCACATTCCCTGCCAATCACATATGTGCTCCTTTCCTAGCTCCTAACTGAATAAAAACGCGTCTCAGGATGGTATCACACGTCCCGGAGTTTTATTTTCCAAAATGAGCCATTTATATGAAAGTATAAACTATGTGCATTCAAAACGGAAATATTTATTTTTTTATTTAAAATTTTGCTTATGGGAATATTGCCTTCTTTGTTCGAAAATCGAATTCAATAACAAGCATAAATAAAAGATAAAAATATTAACAATACAACAACGCAGTGAACAATCAAAGAAGAAAATATTCCCACTTTATTAAAATTTTTAAGCTTTCGTTTTATTTTTTTAATATTTGTAAACGAAACTATTGCAGGCAATGTTATGCTAATAAATGGCTCAATAAGAAATTAAAAGCCGGGAAATGTCAACCACCCTAACTAGCTAATATTAGAGAACGGCAAATTTGGAGACAGCTGACTAATAGCGAATTTGTTTATTATCGGGGTTGGAACCAGTTCCAACCCAGTGCGAAACCGAACTTTTTGTCAGTGCGAACCTTAACCTGAGGTAGGTTTTAAAAACAAACGATCAAACTGACGTTTGTCAGGAAGCAAGCAGAGTCGATCTTGATACCCGATCCAGGTTGGAACTGAATAATAAACAAATTCGCTATAAATATGATGCAAGGAGCACATATGTGATAAGCTCCGTTAAATGTACTGAAAAGTCACCTCTGTTCCTAATTTCGATCTAAACCGATTTTCAATAAAATCAATTTATGATCAACCAGTTTCGATCAAAATCATCAAAAGGGGTGGCTTTTCAGTACCTTTAAACTCCCACCACATTACCTGCCAATCACATATGTGCTCATTTCCTAGCTCCTAACTGACAAAAAGCCCTTCTCACGGTGGTATCACATTTCCCGGAGTATCATTTCCCAAAATGGGCCATTTACCAGAATGTATATAATCCTGTGCATATAAAACAGAAAATTTTACTCCTGGGAATATTGCCTTCTTTATTCAAATATCAAATGAAATAAATAACAATCAGCAAACGAAAATAAAAAAAATAAATATAACAACGCAATGAACGCTCAAAGAAGGCAAAATTCCCATTGTTTTCAAATTTTTTTATATATTGTGGGGGAAATGTGATACCACCCTCCTAACTAACAAGAGAGAACCGCAAATTTGGAGTAAGCTGACCAACAAGATAAAAGGAGCACATATGTGATAAGCCCCGTTAAATGTACTGAAAAGTCACCTCTCTTCCTAGTTTCGATCCAAACCGATTTTCAAAACCAGTTTCGATCGAAATCATCAAAAGAGGCGGTTTTTCAGTACATTTAAACTCCCACCACATTCCCTGCCAATCACATATGTGCTCCTGCCCTAGCTCCTTACTGATTGAAAGCCCTTCTAACGGTGGTATCACATTTCCCGGAGTTTCATTTCCCAAAATGGGCCATTTACCATTAAAATGGGCCATTATATTTTGCATTCAAAACGGAAAATTTCTCCTGGGAATATTGCCTTCTTTACTCAAATAGCAAATTAAAGAAATAACAATCAGCAAACGAACATAAAAGATAAAAACAAAAATAATGTAACAACGCAATGAACACTCAAAGAAGGCAAAATTCCCATTTTTATCAAATTTTTAAAGCTTTAATATTTTTTTATATTCGAAAACTAAAATATTGCAGAAAACTTTCTGAAATTAAATCCGGGAAATGTGATACCACCCTCCTAAATGTTAAATGTACTGAAAAGTCACCTTTCTTCCTAATTTCGATCCAAACCGATTTTAAAAACCAGTTTCGATCGAAATCATCAAAAGAGTTGGCTTTTCAGTACATTTAAACTCCCACCACATTCCCTGCCAATCACATATGTGCTCCTGCCCTAGCTCCTATCAACCTATCTAATTCTTTTTCAAAATATTTACTATATCTAAAACCTAACATTGCTACTTTGGAATGCGACGATCGAGCTCACGGTAGTGGTCCTACGAACTTCATAAACAGTACTTCGACGAAAGCATTCTGCCTCATCGATTGGTTTGCTTGGAAGGCATTTCCAAAAGGATGGAATTGATATACCTATCCGAGCACGGTCCCTAAACGAATTTTGGTCGCCAAAAGTTCCCTATTCAGTGTTGATGGGTTCCGAGGATTCGTCAGAGGCAAGGTGGTAGCTCAAAGTATTCGTACGTACCCGGCTACAACACCTATACTCTTTAGAAGTCCTCGGAGAAGCTAAAAATTTGGATAAAATTCGTTAGACCACCAGTGAGCTCGATCTAATCACACAAACACAAAGCCAAACTATCAAAAGAGATTTTGAATTTCCCACAAACCGAGGAAAACGGCCGAAACTATGAATACCAAGCCTAAAGGTTTCCAGCCAAAAATCGTTTTTACCCAAGTTGGTTTTGGGCGGCTAGAATTTTCAAGCAGCATCACAGTAGGCTGCATCGAAAACGTCAAATTTTCCTTCTCGGTTTGTACACCACAATGTTGTCGCGAGGTACATTGTTCCCAAGGTCCAGCATAAACCAGATTCATCTGGGAACGCTGGAGTTTGGGAGTTGACGTCTGTGTAGACGCGTTGGCAGTGCTCGGTGCATACGTCAAACTTTCCAAAATGTTATGTTGTATTTTCGCGTATGCTTCGAACACTGCCACCGTCGTCTGGCAGCACTGTACCTCGGCCAACCCTGCAGTCAAAATCGAATCAATATCGGTTATATTACATTTAAAACCCTGACCTGAATTTTGTGGAGCCCTATCTACTAATTCCTGAAAATCTACAAATTCTACGTCATGAAAATCTACATTTAAAACATTCTTACCATTACCCGCAGTTGAGGCAACCTGGATAGTTTCAAGTCGGTTTTCTGGAGCTGCTCTCCCAAAACCCTCACCAATCACCTGTTTGCTTTTCGGTGCTATAAATGGCCGGCGGATAAAGTCAGCTACCGGTGACCTTACGTTATCATACTCGTCCGTCACCGGTAGTCTTTTAAGCATTTCCCAACGGTCCCGGCACTTTGGCAGCTTGGGCTTTGTAGAAGCCGCTTTAATGCGGTTATACATAGCCGCAAGCTCGCCATTAGGGTCGGGACGCATGAATGCCGGTAAGGTCATCGGTCTTGCATTCCGACCGGACCGGTTCTTCCCGGCATCACGACCATTTTTAGCATTTTTAGCAAACATTTTGATTAGTGGTGTGGTTTTGTTCAATGGGATGGAGAGCGATGAAAACACGTCTGCTCTGAAACTACCTAAGAAGCCTCTTGACGATTGTTAGCAGCAGTCTTACTTATATAGACTCTTGGCATGCGAAAATTTGGTTACACTGCTGTTGCTATGGCAGTGGCTGGAAGATGATGCGCAGTGGGAGAAAGTCGTGAAAATCGGACTTTTTGGTCAAGGTAGGCGTGCATGTTTTCTTCTTCTGTGAAATGTCATTTTTTCACGACGCAATATAGACTGAAAAAAAAAAATGTAACGGACATGGACGCTGGAGGTCATGAATGTGGGACTTGGTGGTACTTTTGCCCGGAATGGGCATGCTGGTGAGCCCCATCAGAATCTTCACAATTACCGGTGAAGCCGGACCGGAATTCCTAGTAGTTAAGATGTGATTATGGAGTCGTGTTTATTCGTTCCGGGTGTTGGTGCGCTTCGGTCAATGGTAGTTTCCGACTTAGTGTTTTTCAGCTGAATCCAGTCGGGAATTACCAAGGAATTAACCAACACCCGGAACGAATAAACACGACTCCATCATCACATCTTAACCGCTAGGAATTCCGG